TTTTTCCACAGAGCCAACATCTCCCTTAGGAATTCACTCTTAAATCATTTCTATTGAGAGGTGACAAGGTACAGAAGCCCACAGAAACCCCTTCTGAAGTTGGAACCAGGGAGGTGCCTCAGTGATTAAGAACACTGGCTGGCTGGCTGGCTGGGCGGTGGTGGCACACGCCTTTAATCCCAGCACTTGGGAGGCAGAGGCAGGTGGATTTCTGAGTTCGAGGCCAGCCTGGTCTACAGAGTGAGTTCCAGGACAGCCAGGGCTACACAGAGAAACCCTGTCCCAAAAAAAAAAAAAACACAAAAACCCTGGCTGCAGTTCCAGGGTTCTTGGGTTTGATTTCCAGCCACCTGTCCACGTGGCAGCTCACAACTATCTGTAACTCTAGTTCCAGGGTCTCCATCGCCCTCTCTGCAGCACTTCAGCCCTCCTGAAGTCCACACCCACTTCCCAGGTTCCAAAGCAGATAACTGCAGGCCAGCATGTCAGGAGGCCTATGTTGGCTCCGTCACCGGGGCGCTGGCAATGGCAAATGATTCAGGGTGACCTCTACTTTAGCTTGGAGTATCTGTGCCTACCCATAGGACGAGCTTAAGAAGGACAAGGGGACCTGTCTTAGTCAAGGTCTTACTGCTGGGAACAGACACCATGACCAAGGCAACTCTTATAAGGACAACATTTAATTGGGGCTGGCTTACAGGTTCAGAGGTTCAGTCCATTATCACCAAGGTGGGAACATGGCAGTGTCCAGGTAGACATGGTGTAGGAGGAGCTGAACATCCCTATGGTTAGGAGGAGGGTCTTAAAGACCACGCCCACAGTGACACACCTACTCCTACAAGGCCACACCTCCAAAGAGGGCCATTCCCTGGGCCAAGCATATTCAAACTACCACAGGACCCTAATGGGTGAAACTTGGATCAGGCCATGAGTCCAATGGCCTTCCACCATTAAGGCCTCACAAAATGGATTACCTGCCCCAGGGAACAGGCTTCCTTCTTCAGGATCTGATGGTAGAAGGACTGAATGGGGCCTTCGATGAACAGCAGAACACCAGGTGTAGCCATAGGTCACGCCTATAATCCCAACCACTTACAAACCAAGACAGGAAGACTGTGCTACACAGGACACCTTTGTCCCTCATGCGCATGGCAAGTGGAATCTGCCACATGTTCCCCTTGGGTCTACTGGCTTTCCCCCATGCTCTGCCTTTGATCCATTGATTGATTGAGCTGCAGCTTCCTCTGCTTGTTGATCTGCCTCATGTTCCACTCATATCCCAGAGGCAAACCTTCGGCATGCAAAAAAAAAAAAAAAAAAAACGCCACCAGTCTTAAACAAGACAGTGGCGGCCATATTGAACTCATCACTATCTTCAAAAGAACATCCAATGACCTTCAACAACTTCTTTGGGTGCTAGTGAATCAAAAAAAAAAAAAAAAAAAAAAAACATGGGGCTGGAGAGATGGCTCAGTGGTTAAGAGCACTGACTGCTCTTCCGGAGGTCATGAGTTCAAATCCTAGCAACCACATGGTGGCTCACAACCATCCGTAATGAGATCTAATGCCCTCTTATGGGGTGTCTGAAGACAGCTACAGTGTACCTTACATATAATAATAAAATAAATAAATAATTAATAAATAAAACCTTTAAAAAAAAAAGCATGAAGAACCCCACTCAAAAGAAAGGTGACCAAGTGGGTGACCAAACATACCAAGTCTCTCTGTTCACTACAGCTACTGCCTAGACTTGTCCCCAGGCTGCCCCTGCCCTGTCCCCAGACACTGATGCCTAAGACCTTCATTTTGGTCTGCACCTACCAGCCTTGTATGGGAGGGGTAGAAGTTTCTCTGGCCCAGAAGCAAGTCACCCGGACCAGAGCCGACCGTGTTCCTTTGTGCAGAAGAGGCGGTGTCCCTGCAGAACCCTATCCCAGGTTGTCCAATATCTTAGAAATTTCTGGAAAACCCTGAAAGAGGCTGAGTCACACCAGGCTGCCTTTGTACATACACCCAAGCTGTGGCTCCTCTTCTTGGGTTGGAGACATTGTCAGGAACCCACCAAGTCCCCGAATGGCTGTTTTCCTTTAGAAAGGGCCATGCTGTGTTTTTTAGCAATTATTTGGAGTCCAGCTCAGTGAGAAAGAGAATAATAGCTCACACCGTGGGTAGTGAGTGTCCTTTGGCAGGAAACTGACATGCAGTCATAAAGTAACAGACATAACTTTTTTTTTTTTCTTCCTCAAGAACCCAGCTTCCGGCAGCATTTCCAGCCATTCCCAGCATTCCCGAGGGAGCATACTGACTACTGGCTTGTTGGCAGGCACACTCTTCAGTTAGCTGGGACCCCGAGGATATGACTGAGTCTGACCTCGCTCTTCCTTGATTTTTGCCTGTTTATTTCTTGGCTGGTGGGGAGGTGAGGGAACCCCCGATATCAGTAGCCTGGGAAGGTAGAGAAGCCTTTGCCACAAGCCAGCGTCCTTCTGGAACCCGCAGCTGCCAGTCTGGCTAGACACCCGCGACTACTTTCTGAGATTACTTCCGGTGACCCCCGTCTGTGTCTCTTTGTCACCAGTGGAAGGACTGAAAGTGGTGGAGATCGAAAAATGCAAGAGTGACATTAAGAAGATGCGGGAGGAGTTGGCAGCTAGAAACAGCAGGTAAGTCTGTGTCCAGGCCTGCAGTAGCTGGTGCTAGTCAGGGCTCTGTGGAAACTGTGGGATGGGCTATGGCTTATGTGCCTTGATCTGGTCCCAACATGGATGACACAAGCCTGTTGTATCAGAGATCAAGTGCTCTATCCCATTTTCTTTCCTTTTTAAAAAAAGATTCAATATATATATATACATATATATATGCATGCATGTGTGTATATATGCTCTGTCTTCATACACACCAGAAGAGGGCATCAGATCCCATTACAGATGGTTGTGAGCCACCATGTGGTTGCTGGGAATTGAACTCAGGACCTCTGGAAGAACAGCCAGTGCTCTTAACCGTTAAGCCATCTCTCCACCCCACAACCCTCCCCACAATCCCGTTTTCTTAAAGATTTATTTTTATGTCTACGGATGTTTGCCTGTAGGCAAGTCTGTGTCCCACTTGCATGTCTAGTGCCCATGGTGAGCAAAAGAGGTCATCTGATCTTCTGGAACTAGAGTTACAGGGAATTGTGAGTTGCCATGTGAGTGTTGGGGATAGAACCCCAGTCCCCTGCAAGAACAGTAAGTACTCATTACTGCTGAGCCATCTTTCCAGGCCCCTACATTTTTCTTATAAAGGAGTTTCATACCTGGAAAATGCCTATACATGCAAGGGAAATAACTCTTCTCCAGAGCCCTCTGTAACAGTAAATTCCACCCTTGAAAGAATTTGGTGTCCATTTTTTTGTTGTTATTTTGATTGGTGGGGGTTGTTTATTTGCTTGTTTGTTTGTTTGTTTGTTTAGCTCTGACTATCCTGGAGCCTGCTATGTAGACCAGGCTGGCCTCAAACTAACAGAGATCCACCTGCCTCTATCTGGGATTAAGGGCATGTGCCACCATGCCCAACTGATACCTGGTTTTAAAGATGACAGTAAAAAGACAAAAGTGTTTAGTTTGTAGTGAACAAACACCCAGTTTTTATCCCCAGGTCTCCTAGTTCCCTTCTGTCAGAGGAGCACAGTGGGTACTCCCATTTCTATGGACTGGCTCTTCAAAGGGTGATGTCCTCAGAAACCAGTGACCAATAATCCAAGCAAAACATGTCTCCTGCACAGCTTGTCAGTAGGAATATCCTCTAAAGCCAGGGTCCATGGCTATAGGGCAGCATCCTGAAGCAGCATCCTGAGTAAGGACCAGTCCTGAACAAATGATGTCAATTGTCTTAGGACCCCAACCTCAAGCATTCTGAAAACAACACCCCTCAGGCTGCCTGTTGAGAGTGGGGCGTGGCTCTTGCCTGCAGGTAGGGGGGTACTGGAAAATCTGGTGGTCCCCATGGACTCCCACCATGATAGCCAGCCTGGTTGTCGCAGGGAGGGCACAGTATAGGGAAGAGAGGTGAATCGTGGTGTCCTAAGGGGACCATGTCACATTCAGGATCATGTGGAGTGGCTCACTGGTGTAGAGTTAAAAGAGCTCTTTTTTTATTTTTAAAGATTTATTTATTTATTTTATATAAGTGCACTGTTGCTGTCTTCAGACACACCAGAAGAGGGCATCAGATCCCATAGTTGGTTGTGAGCCACCACGTGGTTGCTGGGAATTGAACTCAGGACCTCTGGAAGAGCAGTCAGTGCTCTTAGCCATCTCTCCAGCCCAAGGAGCTCTTGTTCCATTAGATTTGGGTGAAGACAGGGCAAAGAATCTTGCAGCCAGAGGACACTGCATGACCAGCTCACTCCCACTGTTCCTATGAAGGTAGCTCTTCAAGGGCCAGGAGAGACCCTTCTGTGTGACTTCTAAAAAGAACCAGAGTCATGTGAGGGGCAGACACTCAGCTAAAACTGAGAACCAACCTGACAGCCTTTGACCCAAGATCTTACTCAACCTGTGAACACTCTAGGAAGCATGGTTCCCAGGACCAGGTAGGAGGCAAGTGGCCTCTGTACTATCCCCCGTCAGCAGTGTTGGCAGTCTGCCTGTAGTGGGCTTGTGGCTTGTATCAGTGACGAGTGTGCCTCTGTACCCCACAAGTACAGTTTAGAGCTCACAGAGACATAAACCAGAGCCCTCTAGTGCCTCAGCAGGCTCACAGAGACAGCATTCTCTGCAGACAGCACTGGAGGCGTGCCTTGTAAGAAAGAGACAGGGTGAAATGCTCAAGTCTCGCCTTCAAATGACCAAACCGATGTGAAGCTTTGGTCTAGTCCGTGCCTAGTCCGTGCTCAGGCCCCTGTAGCCGCTTTTCTATCCAAGCCAGCGCTTTAGTGTTCAGGATGTAGGATGGAGAATGTGGTATTTGCCTTCTGTCTTATTGATGGAAGGGGTCCATTTTAAGTACAGAAGCACACTCAGCAATCAAGCCCCACCACCACCCCCAGGATGAGGCTGTGTAGACTCACCTAGACTGTGGAGAAAGGTTACACCCTTGAGGGATGCAGGTATCCCATTCTTGCCTTCCTCGGGGAGCAGAAGGGACAGGAGACCAGGTGAGGTGGAGCCTAGCTCTACACAGACTGACATTCGCCCACTTTTGAACACACCCTGATAGGAGACTAGATCCACCAGAACCTACCTGGAGATAAGAGAGGGGACCTACACAGCTTGCCAGAGCCTTGAGCAGACTGTGTTCTCCTTAGACTCACTGAGATTCCTCTGTTTCCCTGAGAGGAACAAATTCCAATGGCCAGCTCACATTCAGGGCAGAAGTACACACATCCTACTGGGGAATATGGCTGCTGTGGCTCCCAGCACCATGCAAGGAGGGAAAGAGTATCCTGTAAGGCCAGAGTAGGGTAGTGCAGAAACAGAGAGCGTTGACTGAGGCTTGAGGTCTGTAATCTCTGCATGTGTCTCAGACAAATGGCCTTGGCCATGAGCTGAGTCCCGGGGGATGGGAGGATGGGAAGCCCAGGAAATGAGGCAAAAAATGAGCTCCAGACAGAACAAAAAGAAGAGGCACTATGCCAGCGCTCTGCCCACTGGAGGATGCTGGTTCCTGTGGCAACAGGGCTCAGAGCGGGAAGTGGCTGGCCAAGGCAGGGTCAGCAGGCCCCCAGCAGCCTAGTCTGCCCCCAAGGCCTCAGTTGCTAGGAAGGAACTAGATTCCAGCAGTCAGCATCGTGTCTGGGGAGGGCTTCCATATGTTCTCAGGGAAGGCAGAAGACAGAATGCAAAACAGAACACGGTGCGGATGTGTGTATAAGCGAGGCTGGAGAAACAATGTTACCCCACATAGCCAAGAGCACAGCCGACCTCAAATGGGAGGTGGTCGGCTTGTGGTCAGGGTGGAGGGGGAGATGGCTTCACTGGGACATTTGATTGGTTCCTTCCATTGGTTCCTATAGCAAATCCTATAAATTTGTCTGTTAGAATCCCCTTAGTACAGCAACTTGTCACAAAAACCTGGTAGTTTTTGCAAGTGGTGCAGTTGGGAGAGAGGCAACTGAAGGCTGTGTTTCAAAAGGAAACGATTTATGATTCTTGGCTGGGAAACCACACAGGCTCACAGGAGACTCCAGACAACCCAGCTGGAGGCCAGGGAGTCACTGGTTCGGTTGAAATCCATTACAAAGCCCCCGCTCCTGGGTAATTTTCCCCCCTGGGTGTGTTCATCTAGTTTTGAAGGGAAAAAAAAATCCTTAAGTATACTGTTTTGTGATCTTTTTTTCACTTGTAACGTTGTGAAAAATAAGTAGATTCAATTTTAACCCTCCAGGTCATAGATTTTTCTCTTTTTCTTAACCCAACCCCAATGTAGTTGGGAAAGCTCAGATGTCCAGCCATGTGTGTCATCCATGCCTCAGAACCTTCTGAAAGGATACTCTTAAGATGTCCTCAGAGAGGCTTTCAGGGTGTGGAGCTTAGGGAGAAACTGGATGACTGAAATTTCAGGGTTTCTCTGGTTTTCTCCTGCATTTGTTGTTTTTTGAGTCATGGTCTCCAACTATAACCCCACTGGCTCCAGATTAAATGATTCTTCAGCCTCGTTGGCTGAGTGCTGACATCCCATGAGTATACCGTCACATCCAGCCGCATCTTTGAGAATAAAAATGTTTTACTGTGAGCAGGATAGTGCTGGCACATACATTTAGACCCAGCACTCAGGAGGCAGAGACAAGCAGATCTCTCTAAGTTCAAAGCCATCCTGGTCTATAGTGTGAGTTCCAGGACAGCCAATGTTACACAGAGAAACCCCGTCACCAAAAAAAAAAGTATAGGATGTGGTTCAATTGGTCCTGGCTTCCATCTCCAGTACCACATAAACTGGGGGTGGTAAGGCACCTCTATTATCCTACCATGCAGGAGAATCAGAAGTTCAAAGCCATCCTTGGTTACATAGTAAGTCTGAGGCCAGCCTGGGTTACATAAGATCCTATCTCAGAAATAAAGGAAAGGGAAAGAAAAAGAGAATTTTTTTTTTTTTTACTTGTGCCACTTAAAATTAAACTAAATGTGAACTCTGGCTGCATAAGTATCTGGCTTTATGGGTGTTTCCTATTTGCAGACTGAGAGCCAAACATGTCACAGCCTCCCTGACTGATACTCCCAGGATGAATCCAGTGGGGTGGGTCTGTGCATTCCAGGGCTGGGGCTATGGATCCTGGGGCTGGTGGCCCTGTGTTCCATTTGCTCTGATGCCCTGAGCAACACACACGGCGCCTCTGAGCCAGAATGTACTGCTGTAACCAAGTTCTCCCTCTGCCCTCCAGGACCAACTGTCCATGTAAATACAGTTTTTTGGATAACAAGAAGTTGACACCTCGTCGGGATGTCCCCACTTACCCCAAGGTGAGATAGATTTCTGGCCCAGGGACAAATCTAGTTCTGTGTCCTCTAGCACCAGGACACGGGAACCCAAGTCTGGCTCGTCACTCTGCACAGTGATAACAAACCCCGCTGTATCCCCGTCTCTGGATGAGGAAGGATGGGAGGGTCTCAGGCAGGATATTTTTCTCTTAGACATTTGTTTAGAGAAGTGATTCCAGAGCGGGAAGGGAGGTGGGGTAACAGCCCTTCTGGCTCCCTCCCGGACCCGCAGCTGACAGTAAAAGACATCTGCATACAAACATTCCACCAAGGAACTTTAACAAGGATCTTTAAAATCTCCATCACTGGCTCCCCTGGTCCTGAACAGAGTTCTTACGAAAAGCTTTGCACTAAAGCTTTTGTGAGTTTCGAAAAGAAGCCAAGCCTTTAGTGGAGTAGCTGTGACCGAGAGTTAAGTTACTTTAGATGCCTCCACTTAAACCCTGGCTTGCGGTTACTCTGCAGTTAGGCTGGCCAACCCATAGGTCCTCCTGGAAGCCCCCATATGTCCCCTGTGCCCACTAGCCAATGATTTACTCCACCTGGGTCCGAGCCATACACTTGAGTTATCATCCCGGAGAGCAATACCTTTTCACAAGGGAAAATATGGCCCCACATCTTTCCCGAGATTACACAACCCAGTCCTGGAACAAACTGAGGCTAGCCTCCACACCAGTCCCTTCGTAAGAAAATGGAGAAGGCTAACCCAAAAAGCTTCCTACTGCTGCCTCACATCTAGAATATCAACCTGGATTCTGGCGGTTCACCCTAAACCTTAGTCCCCAGTGGAGCTAACCTTGAACCAAGGCCTTCATCAGCCAGTGTGTGACTTAACTCATGGCTGATTCCAGGGAGGGTGGTTCCTGGCAAGAGGAACCTAGCAGGGTTTCTCAGGAGAGATTTGAACATACACGCAGTGGCTTAGTGTCTCTTCTCTTCACTTGATATCACTTTTACTGTTGAGAACTGATTGACAGCTGATGGCTCATCTTCTTGGAATCTGAGTTTTGACGAATGTAGCCATGAAATTGCTATCATGACAAATATAGGAAATATTTCTTTTATTTATTTATTTACATCCGGAACACTGCTCTTCCTCCCACCCTCCCCATAACAGAGTTCCCTATCCCCCCCCCATCCTCCCTCCCCTTCTCCTCTGAGATGGTGCCCCTCCCCCCCCACCGCCCATCTCCAAGATTATCCCAAAGCCCTGGCACGTCAAGTTTCTGCCAGATTAGGTACAGCCTCTTCCACTGAGGCCAGGCAAAGCAGCCCTGTTGGGGAACAGATACCACAGTCAAGCTACAGCTTTAATGACAACCCCCCTCTCCAATCGTTGGGTGACCCACATGGAGACTTGAGTGCAAGTTTGCTACATGTGTGCCGGGGGCCTCTTTCCAGCCCGTGTGTGCTCTTTGGTTAGTGGCTCAGTCTCTGAGAGCCCCCACAGGTCCAGGTTAGTTGACTCTGTTGGTCTTCTTGTGGCATTTATAGGGATTATTTCTGTCACTCAAACATCCCTAGGAAGCCCCATGTGGCCTAGCCCAGGCAACTACAGGGGCAAGTCCATTGACAATTTCCAGAGAAAGGCAGGCTTGAGTCTATACACCGTGTCTGTGAGGGGGACTAGAAAATAGAGAAAATGCTCACTCAGATCTCTGAGGCTACGGCCTTTGCCACTCATAGAAGCCCCACTGTCTGGCTAACATACCTTTCCCATCCTTTCTAGTACCTGCTCACTCCAGAGACCATTGAAGCCCTACGGAAGCCCACCTTCGATGTCTGGCTCTGGGAACCCAATGAGGTAGGTGAGGGACATCCAAGTTCCCCAGTCACTGGGATCCAGCTGCTCAGGATTGCAGATCATGAATGGGGAATGTGCCCAAGCTAGTCCTCCTGTCTTTTTTTTTTTTTTAAACTTAAAACCTCCTGAATTAAAATCTATAGATTTTAATTCAAATGGACATTTGATGGGCTCAGGGGGATACAGGAGACAGAGCTCAAGGCAAAGGGCCTTTCCTGAGGAAAACAGACATTACCTCCTGGGCCGCTACTGAAGCATGGCCAGCTGACCCCAGGCCTGGAGCTGGGTACACCCACATCTATAGGAGGCGTGGGAAGATGAAGCCGTGCAGAGGCATAGCAGCTGCTTAGAACAGCTATTTCCTGTAGAAAGGGGCCTCCAAAGGAGACGTGGGAAGAGTGGCCAGCAGACACCCCTGGGCAGCTGGACAGGAGATAGTGGGTATTTGAGGTTTGCAGAGAAAGGAGTCACTTCCGACAGGAAAAATGTGTCTTCCAAATATCTCATTCACGAAGAAATACTGACACGGAAATTGAAAGAATTAAGTCGCTCTACATAGACAACTCACCAAAACCTAAGGACTCTCTTCCGAGCTTTTCCCAAGCACGGACATGTAGAAATAGGCCAACATGCTCCCTGCTGCCTTTGACAAGATCAGTCACAACCAGTGGGATTTTGTACCTCTAGACAAGAGGATCCCCAAATTTCCCAAATAAACTTCTTCCGGCGTGTTGCTCGCCCAACGTAAGAAAGCTTTTTGGCTAGGGCATGTTGGCCAGAAAAGCAGAGAACAGGCTGTGGAGATACTCAGTGGCTAAAAGAGCTGGCTGTACACAGTGAGGACCAGGGTTTGAACTTGCTACGCCCATGTAAACATCAGGTGGGTATGGCCATTGCCTGTAATCTCAGCGCCAGGGAGGCTGAGACAGCCCAAGCAGGCTGGTTAGCTTTGTCTTGTCAGTGAGCTCTGGGTTCAAATGATAGATCCTACCTCATTGTATGAGAGAGAGAGCAATAAAGGAAGATACCATATCGACCTCTCATACTGGAGCACGTGAGTGTGTGCAAACATACACACACCGCACACACACAGGCGTGCGCGTGCATGCAAACTCTCTACAAGTACACACTCAACAAGACAGAAAAGCAGAACCCAGCCCAGATCGCTTGAAAGCACAGCCATCAGCGAGCCTCCAGAGGTGCGTGCGGCTGCCAAGGGTTCTGCACTCCAGCTCTGAGGTCTGCGACCGGAATGCAAGAATCAAAAGTTCAGGCAGCATCTGAGACACGCAGCCCTCCTAGGTCAGTGTGGGGGTCGCACGCCCACAATCATGGAAACAAAGACAGAGCTTTAAGGAGACATGTCAGCATCCTTGCTCCTGGACCTGAACAGAGCAAGACCATGACAAATAAAGGTACAGCAAGAGGCCAAGTGGCTCCTTCAAGCAGCAGGTGGCCAGCCCTGCTTCTGGGCCATCCTCAAGGAAGGACCCAATACCTGGTCATTGACCTTAACCAGTCAAAGTCACCCGTGAGAATGACTGCATAGAAATCAATATTTGAGTTTTCTCCTGCCACCACCACCTGCCCCGTGGGACCTCCAAGTACTGTGCCACCCACGGTGAGAGGTGAAGGTTGTCCCCAAGGCTGGAGAACTCATCCATCTATGGCAGAATATGCCCTCACTTTGGAGACTGTATTCATAGCTGCTAGCAGGCAAGTGGGCATGGTGAGTGGCTCTCAAAGTTTGACTCAGCCATGTGACACCTTCCACTACCCATAGCTTTGGCCAGGGAGGCTAGCAGGATGCTTCTGGAGGTTTCTCACTACCATCAGGTGGTAAGCCAGAAATGCGTCTGGCAGATCCAAGTGTGGGCAGCCGTGATGTATAACTAAAGATTCTCTGAGGGTCTGGGCAGCCACCCAGCCCTGAGATGTCAAGGAGCATCAGGACCCTGTTGGGGTTCACCTGTCTTTCCCAGTGGGTGTCATGCCACATCGACCCACATCTCTACCCAGTGTCCAGCCCTCCTCACCCATGACCCAGGATGCCATCTCTTGTTAGTCTCATCCATTGGCCCCACCCTGAGGCTGCACACAGTAAGGTGACTGCCCTGTCACACTGAAGGGCCACCCACGGCCATCTCGTAAGTCCTCCCCGTCTTAGTCAGTACTCATCGTCACATCGGGGAGCCACCTGGCTCACTCGCTCAGCCAGCCGGGGTTGAGGACTGTCAAGGAAACAGACCGTCACTACTGCTCTGAAGCCACCACGTCACCCGTCACAGAAGTGGCGGCAGATGGTTTAGTCTGGCAGCTCCCTGCATCTCTCAACTCTGATTTCCCAGCAGATATCTCTCCAGGATGGCTCAGAACACTGTCTGGGCCTCTGAGGAAAAAAAAAAAAAAAACAAACAAACCAATGGTTTGGGGCTGTATGTAGCCCAAGGGTACTGAGCGCTGGTATCCAGGATGGTGCAGAGGCTGGAAGCTCTGGACAACATCTGTCTACAGCCTGGGAGCCAGCCATTCTCAAGCTAGGATCAGAACATGTGTTTCTCTGCAGGAAGCCCCTTCTGGAACCTTCGGCATCAAAGCCGTTGGCTTCTCAAGGAAGATGAATGTGTGCCCAGCATGCTCTCGGGATACTCTGTGAGATTCTAAAGTCCCCTTGCTTATTCTCCCTGCTTGCCCTACTAGGTCTGAATGAGAGGTTGTTTTCTGTTTTCCAAATGAACTCTTCACGGATACCGATACGGTAGAATTCTCCACTCTTGACAGAACTGAAAAGTATTGTAGTCACAAAGCTTCCCCTTTAACTACAGCATGCCCAGCCCATAACAAAAAAAGGATAGCTCGGCCAGGCGGTGGTGGCGCACGCCTTTAATCCCAGCACTTGGGAGGCAGAGGCAGGTGGATTTCTGAGTTCGAGGCCAGCCTGGTCTACAGAGTGAGTTCCAGGACAGCCAGGGCTATACAGAGAAACCCTGTCTCGAAAAACCTAAAAAAAAAAAAAAAGTGTCTTATTGTCTCGCTGCCCTGGAGCCGGAAGTCCAAGGTCGAGGTGTCTTGGGCTGTCGTTCCTGAATTCTCTCTCCCCTTAACATCTCTCAGTCATCTTTATGTGTCTGTGTTCTGATCTGTCCCTACAGAGTCACGGTCAGATCAAATTGGGATGCCGCCCTCCCCCCCTCCCCATGGCCACATTTATCTTAGCTTCCTCTGTAAAACCCTATCCCTAATATGGTCACATTGGAGGGTCACAGTGGGGCCTCAATATACTATGTCCATGGGACGCAATTCAATGCCCAGATGCAAGGGAAGCAGGCCAGACTATAGCACTGACAACTACTGTTCGGTGCAGGTATTGGGACAGTGGTGCCCAGAACCAGCCAGGCACTGATATGTGACCCCTATGGAAGTGCTCTCTGCTGGGGTCATGCCACGTGCTCACAGGGCTGGCTCACTCAGCTTTGTATTGTAAATCTCCTGAATCCCCAAGACTTTCTTCTCCCAGAAGAAAAGCGGCTCTAGCCAGGCTCAGTTACAAATTCCTCGCTGCCTTAGTCCACTGGGAGATGCCTGCAGAGACCCATAGAATGATGGCAGACCATAGAATTAAAGACCATGTCTGTCTCGCTCCACCACCACCACCAAGTGGCAATAAGATTCATTCAGACAAGAGATTGGCCCTCCAAATCGAGATGAAGACATCAGAAAGCATCTCCAGTCCCAATAAGAGGGGCGAACTTCAGCTGATTCAAGCCCTTCCCATCTCTAGCCTTGAACAAGCAAGGTGGATGGTGGATGTCAGATGGTGGATAGCCTCCTCCTAACCCTTACCGCTCTGCTCAGATTATGGTCACCTTGGTATCCTCCTCTGAAATAGTGTCACCATGCACAGAGCTGCAATCTTGCCTGGAATGCTCGTGGGCTTCTTGTCACTTCACTCCCAGGAGACCTACAGGTTGTCACAGACCCACAGCCCGACTGGGTGATCCTACCATTGGCCTATCCCACCCACGGCTGAAGCTCACCTTCCCAGGTCACCCTGGTGGCTCTATCCAGGACAAGACATAGGAAGGAAGGACAACTGGTCTACCTGCTCCTTCTGACCCCTGACCCCTGGCCTTGTTCCCACAGATGCTGAGCTGTTTAGAGCATATGTACCATGACCTCGGTCTGGTCAGGGACTTCAGCATCAACCCAATCACACTCCGCAGGTGGCTGGTAAGTGGTGAGCTCACACTCGGGCCTCTCACTTCCTCCCTATCACACTGAAGTGGACTGCCCTGCGTGCTCTGGTGGCAATGGGCTTCTGCAGAGTAGGCGTTGGTATCAAGGAAATCCTATGAGGTCATTTGTCCCATCTGTCCTCCCATGCCCCTCAGAGGAGCAAGGAAATAATACAACCATCAGGGAGAGACCCACAAGGTAGCACACAAAAGCAGGGGAGTGTGGAGTTGGGGGTGCCATGTGTGTTGGGGTGTGTGTGGATGACGAGATTACATGAGCATGTGGGTTACATCTATGTTTGCATGTGCGTGTGCGTCTGGGCGTGTGCATGGGAGGATGTGTGTGAGTGTGAGGGTATGTGTCTCTGTGGCAGTATGAGAGCGAGAGTGTGTCTCCAGGAGTTGACGAGAGCGTATTTGTCTGGGGTTGTGTATAGTGTGGGTGGCTATACATAGACAGGTGTATGGAGTTCTTAGTAGCAGAGCTTTCTCTAAGCAATGGAATATTACTGCTAACCAAGAACCGAGACCCTGTTAGTTGTCCCATAGGCCTGGGAACCTAGAACTCCTGGTGAAATACTCCCTGACCCACTCCCAGCTTCTTATGCTAGGGTGACTCAGCAGACACCTAGGGGATACCTTAATCCCCGCCCCAGATGGTAGAGTAGTGGTACATTACTCCTGGGCCACACTGTCCTGTGTTACTTAGGAGTTCCCAAGGCCTTGAGCATGCAAAACCCCGGGAGACTTATAGGAGCAAGGGTCGCCAAGCTCAGGGGGCTCTCCCTTTCCTCCCCGCAGCTCTGTGTCCATGACAACTACAGGAACAACCCCTTCCACAACTTCCGGCACTGCTTCTGTGTGACACAGATGATGTACAGCATGGTCTGGCTCTGTAGCCTCCAGGTAGGTCCTAACAGCCCCTGCCCTCTGTCCCTAACCCTGCTGTGTACCCGGGGCCCTCCTCTCCTCCCAGCCCAGGGGGACTGGGTCCTCCCCTGTCACTGCAGCCCAGTCTGTCCCCCCACCCTTCCTGCCCTTCATGAGGAGGACAGACCGCCTGACTCTCACCTGATCCAGGAGAAGTTTTCCCAGATGGACATCTTGGTCCTGATGACCGCAGCCATCTGCCATGACCTGGACCACCCAGGGTACAACAACACGTACGTTTGAGATTTCTTCTCGTTTCTCCTTCGAAAGGTGTCCCTTCGCTCAGGGGAAACTCAGTGTGCCCTTTGACAGCTCTCAAACGGAGCTGCCAACCTAGACACACACACTCGACCAAGCCCTGCAGGATGCGGTTCCGAGCTTTTGGACTTTGTCCAGGGCCTTAGGCCTCCCCTAGGATGGAACCACCAAACCCTACAGGTAGCCACAGTCTCTTTGTGTCAGCCCAGGCTCAGGAGGTGCAGGGCAGCGGCAGCCTGTCCCCTCCTTAAGGTAGAGACAGCAGGTCTTCATACCATTTTCTGCCAGGAAGCTTCTTCCTCAAACTGCTTCCAAAGGCACGGGCAGAGGGAGGTGGGGGTGGGGCAGGGTGAGTGGTACATTGGGGCAGGGCAGAAGGAATGCATGTGAAGGGGGTAAGAGGATGGGCCCAGATCTGGGACACTAACTAAGCCCTTCCTGTCTGCGCTGGGTAGAATGCTACCTCACGGGCCCAACAGGTCACTCTCATGATGTGAGCTTGCATTCAGCATTGCGAGGGTTTTTTCTAATGTACCTTTGCGGCTGTGTATCACCATCAGATGTGCCTGGGGCCACTGCCACCATTTGTCAGGACAGTACAGGTCCCTAGTCTAGCCATGTGTGTTCCTCAGAGGCTGGGCGGGACAGAACAGATGTCAGCTGTGGCCGTAAGTGCTCCTCAGGGGCTGTCCCAAGAATGTATCTGATACTATATATTATTATATATTATATATTATATATTATATATATTATATTATATTATATTATATTATATTATATTATATTATATTA